CTAGAGAGGTTAATTCTCCCTCAGAAAAGGGGGAGTATATGCTTTCTTATCCTGTTAATTTTTTCTTAATCTTTACCAGTTTAGTAAGTGGAAAATAACATCTTGTTCCTGATTTAATTAGCATTTTATTACTCTCAGTTTGAATATGAGTCTCTTGGTCATTTTCATTTCTCCTTTTGTAACTTTCTGTGTTCTTTGCTCATTTTTCTACAGGGATTTTTTTTTTCTAATTAACTTATAAAAATGTACTAACTATTAAGAATATGAACATGTCTAAATAAATTTGGCTAATATTTTTCTTCCTTCTTTTTTTTTTTAGAAGTTTTTGCTATAGGGTGTGTGTGCCCATAAGAAAGACAGAGAGAGACAGAGAGACAGAAAGTGAGAAATCACCCCCCAGGGAAGATGGCCACACTATAATCCCTTCTCCTTTGTCAAAAATCAGTTGGCTTCTCCACCATTCTCCTCTCAGAATCCTGTGCACACACGCACACACGCCCAGCATGAGTTTAAGCCACCGGGTCTGGGACTCAAACTGTGGTTGACTACATGAGAGTCCAGCAACATAGCCATTACACTAACTGATGGCCCCATTTTTCTTAATTTGTCATTTGCCTTTTTGTGTACGTTACAGAAATTTTGTGTTATGTCACAGATCTATCTTATGAAGTTCTACTTAGACTTTGGAATAGAAAGTATTATGCAAATTACATAACTTAAATTTTCTGCTAACATTTTAAATTTTTTTTATTTTATTCTCTAATCTGCTTAGATTTACTTCAGTGTTTAACACAGGGAAGTTTTCTAAATTTAGTCTCCAAATAGTTGTGTTGTTTCCATGCATTTATTTATGAAATGTCACTTTTATTAAGTATTAATTTTCATGTATACATCCATCTATATCTGGACTCGCCAAGGACTTGTCTGCCTATTTCTATGTTAGCTTAATATTAATTTCATTGATGTAGATTTATTGTAAGTTTTTTTTGTTTTGTTTTGTTTTGTTTTTTTTGGAGAGATTTTCACTATAGGGCGCGTGAGCTTGCCAGACAGACAGAGAGAGACATTAGAGACAGAAAGTGAGAAATCACCCCCCGGGGGGATGGTCACGCCGCAATCCCTTCTCCTCCATTCTCCTCTCAGGATCTTGGGCACGCAAGCACACGTGCCTGGCGTGAGTTTTAAGACACCGGGTCCGGGACACGAACCGCGGTCGACTACGTGGGAGTCCAGCGATATAGTCATTACGCTAACTGCTGGTTCCCTATTGTAAGTTTTAATATCTAAGATAAGTACTCCTTCTAATACTTAAAACAAAAAAACAAAAAATAAAAAAACCCCAACTATTTAACAAAACTTTCTGACGCATAGTTTACAAAAATATTTTCCCATTCTGAGGGCTGGCAATTCACACTAATTACTGTATCTTTGGCCATGCAAAAACTTCTTAGTCTGATGTAATACCACTTGTCTATTTTGGGGATTATTGACTGTGCTTTGGGGGTCTTATTTAAGAAGTCTTTGACTACCCCAATGGCTCCCAGAGTTTTGCCAGTGTTTTCTAGGAGCAATTTTATAGTTTAAGGTCTTAGGTTTAGATCTTTGATCCACCTTGAGTTGATTTTTGTCAATGATGAGAGGTAGGGGTTCAGGTTCATCTTTCTGCAGGTGGATATCCAGTTTTCCCAGCACCATTTGCTGAAGAGGTTTTCCTTTTCCCACTGGATTGACTGGTACCCTTTTGTCAAAAATCAGTTGGCTGTATGTTTGTGAATTTATTTCTGGGGACTCTATTCTGTTCCATTGGTTCACCTGTCTGTTTCTTTGCCAGTACCATGCTGTAGAGAGGCTTAGCATTAATGGGACAAAGAAATGGGGTATTATCTGTTGAAGATATCTTTATAGTATTATCTACGAGACTGGGGAGAAATATACATGTGTTAGAATATTCACTTTGCAAGCTAAATAACGTGATTCAATGTATAAAAGAACTTGAAATAAAAAAAAACTTTCTAGTATTTAACAGTGATTTCTTTTTGAAACAAAGAACATTTTGTTTATTGAAATACATGAATTAAATTTATTTTAGGAGGCTCAGCTGCAGTGGGGCGGGTGCTGTGGTGCTGCTATGTGATGCAAGAAGCTACGTGAAGCACCAGGGTTCTGATCCTGGTTGTCCTGAGTGTGGGTACCTGTGATCCTAGCTCGCTGAAGGGCTGCGGATGGTGGTGTGATGAGATCCTTTTGAGGGTGCTTCTCTCTCTGTCTCTCAATAAAGTAAATAAACTTTCAAAAATCCTTTTAAGATTTTTATCATAGTTGCATTAAATTTTAAATTGTATATAATTGGCATTTTCACAAAATTTTTTGTAAAAACTATTTAAAAGGGGTATGAACTTACTCAACTCTGCAACAATTCTTTTATGTTGCTTAGTAAAGCTTGAGGCGATGCCTTTTACATGGAGACAATCATATCTGATCTTTTGAGCCCACTTTAGGTTGGGATCTGTTATTATGGGAAAAAAAAAAAAAAAGATCTGTGGGACTAGCAGATGATATAATGGTTATGACACTGGACTCCCACATAGTCAACTGCCGTTCAAGTCCCAGACTCAGTAGCTTAAAACTCACTCTGGATGCATATGCATGCGTGCCCAAAATTCCAAGAGGAGAGTGGGGAGAAGGAATCGGGGTGTGACTTTTTCCCTGGCAAATGGTGGGGGGTCACTTCTCGCTTTCTGTCTCTTTCTCTCTGGAGGAGGAATCGGAGTGTGACTTTTCCCCTGGCAAATGGTGGGAGGTCACTTCTCGCTTTCTGTCTCTTTCTCTCTCTCTATCTCTCCAGAAAGTGTACCTGCCCTATCGCAAAAAATCTCTCTAAAAAAAAAAAAAAAGAAAGAAAGAAAAAGGGATCAGTCATATGCTGAATGTAAGTTGGACTGAATGTATGGGTGTGTATGGTGCCAGCTTCACTTTATAAAATAAGTAAATAAATAAAAACACTCAATCATGGCATACGAGGGGAGGTCCTGCTATTGGGGGAATAGGAACAGGCGCTATGTGGTGCCCATGTGGATCATGTGTGTAGCAGAAAGTGGTCAGAATCAGACCCTTTCAAGTCTCGGCTTTTGTTTGGCTTCTGATTTTGTGCCTTTGAGAAAGAGGAAAGTTGTGTTTCGTTTTGTTTATTTCATCGATGCTCAAACCAAGGCTCAGATAAGAGATTTTGTTTGGAATTGTGAGAAAGGCCCACCCTAGTGGGCCTTAACCCTGGATCCCCTCTCCTTATAAGTGAATTACTCACTTCTTATTCATTTACATTTTCAAGTGTTTCCTGGGATTCTTCCACGACTCTGTCCTCCTTTCCAATCTTCTTCTTTTTATTCATATTACTTGAGGAAAGATGGAGATGGACTTGGATACGTCTCTCTGTATCAATTTTTACTTATTTATTTAGAATTATTTAATTAATTAATTAATTTTAAAATTTGCTATAGGACATGTACGCTCACCAGAGAGAGACAGAGAGAGAGAGAAAGTGAGAAAGCAAGCCCCCAGGTTTGGGATTCGACTTGCTATCAGCCATGTGGCAGTCTAGCCCCTTAACCACTATGTTACCTGCTGGTCCCCTGCATAGCTTTTAAAGTCAGGACTGCCCAAGGATCAGTATTTCTTAGAAAAAGTCTTTTTTTGAATCTTTGGTTTGTCGCTCTGTTGTAAAAACAAACATCGTTTTAGAGGTGTGCTGTGTGATCACTTTCACATGCAATTCAATGATCAGAGCCTAAAGTATATTTTCACAGGGAAAAAGGGGAAAGGGGTAGAGCCTTCCTCAGAACATCAGAACAGTTGACCTTCAGTTCACCTTGTACTTGGTCTTTCAATCATAAGTCGTATTCATGTCCTCGCTTCCAAAATGTACTTGGTGGGTAGCTGGTCCACTGGAGATACGATCAGGTGTCAGCACAGCCGGTCATTAGTGCAGGTGCCGCCATCAGGCTCCAACTGTCCTGTATCAAGTCATGTAACATGGACAGTTCAGGGTTCTGGGGATTATAGGAAAGTGAGCCCATAAAACTTGACCTTAAACTCCATCTAAGCTGCTATACTCGTAGCTGACATTTTTACCCTCATGACCTCTAGTTTACCCTTTGCTTGAGCAAGCTGAACACAGAAGATAAAATTATCTCCTTGCATGATGTAACTTGGTGGAGTATCTGACAGGACGAGGTGGGGCACTGCGTTGTGTAAATTGCCTTTATTTTTCTTGGAAATTACAGCACTTGGCTTTTGGCTCCCCTTAAGTCATTTTAATGTTAATATCGTTAATATTGGTGTGTTTTTTTTGGGGGGGGTTCTGTTTTTTGGGTTTTTTTTCTGAACGCATTATGTCAGGGGAGGCTGACTTGCAGCTTTATTTCCCAGGAGTGCTGAAAGAACAGGGAGAGCGAGGCAATCTTCTAAATGTTAATAAACTTTTACACTTAATGAGGAAGTGGCCCATAGAGATAGCATTCGCAGAGAAGATGTTAATCCGATAGATCAAACCTCTGTAGCCCTGGGAGTTACCAGGGAGGCAGGAGCTCCCAGACAGGACTTCTTTTAAGGGTGAAAAAGGTTTCTGTTGTTGGATAGATGTGATAGTTTTTCAGGCATGTTGCTCTTAGTCCTGCAGAACTCCTACTCATGAATTAAGACCTGTCACGGTATCGCTTCCTGCCATCCCAGCTTTGCCAGGCAGAAGATCACTCTGCCCTTTGCTTCTCCTTGGCATTGAGTGCATTCCTCTGAAAGGGTCATTAGCGTATTTGCTGTTTTATGTGTCTGTTTGTACCCCTGGCTAGGAAAGAAGTGTTGTCACTTTCAACATTTTTTTAATCCCTGAAATTTGGAACAATGCCTGGAAATCAATAATTTCTCAATAAACGTGGATGCTGAAGAGAGACCTTAATCCTTAGACACTCCCCTTTCTAAAACAGGAATGTGCATTTGCTTTCCAGTCATGTCATCGAGTCCCACCGTTGGATCTTCCAGCACGTCCTCCATCCTCCCATTTTCCTCTTCAGTTTTTCCTGCTGTCAAACAGAAGAGTGCCTTCGCCCCTGTCATCAGGCCCCAAGGCTCCCCTTCGCCTGCTTGCTCCAGTGGCAATGGAAATGGATTCAGAGGTAAGCGAAGGCACTACTTTGGGAGTGAGCATGACACGGGCCATGGGGCCAACAATTAAGGGAAGATAGCACAAGGCCATGGCATAGGTCTAGCCACCTACCTACAAAGGGACATTTTGGTGTTTTCATCATGGGACATGAATAGCTTATATAGCTGGGTAGTGCTTCATCTAAAAGCAAGATGGGAACCAGAGTCGTTACCACACTCTGCAGGTGAAGGTGTTAACTCTGGTAGAGCCACACGTTGAATCTGGACTCCCAGCACCACAATGTCCATAGAGCCATCCCACTGTTTCCGAGAGGGTGCTTGGTCACCCCATCAGAGGCCACATCCATGTGGTGACTCCTGCTCACCACACCGACTGCCGTCTGCAGTACGGACACATCCCCGTGGCATGCACACACAGAATCCAGCGGGAGGCAACCAGCAAGTTCTGAGAATTCTGGCTCTGTGCTAGTCAAATTGATAGCAGGTGCCTGATCAGGGATGGGGCTGAGAAGAAAGAGAAAAAGACATACTGTTTCTAAGAACAAAAATTAATATCACCCGTCAAACCCATTTTTGAGCTGGGTCCTAAAATGTAATATGACATGACGTAACACAAATGTGATGAATACATGAGAATCTAATCATCTCTTCATGAGTGGGAGGCAGCTGATGGCAGAGAAGCAAATTGGAAACTGCTGAGTACCGTGGCTCACTGGAGACTCGCATCATATTTAGACTGCTTCTTGCGACTTGACGTGAACACATTCACAATAAGCAGTGTTAGGGGGAAAAAAAAAAAAACAATAATGGCAGAGGTTCAGTTAACCTCTCATGGATCAAAGCCTCCAAGGGCAGCAGAACTTGATGGAGAGCCTTGAATGGGCTGTGTATGGGATACGGCATCTGCCTTGTGGTTGATAGCGATATATGGAGTCGTAGTCCTTTGGGACACGGTGAGGGGTCATTCTCCATCTGTGGCTTAGCAGAGCTCGTACAGGTAGTTAGGCTCCAGTCCCATCTTCTGCTAGCAATGAGGCATCTCAGTAGATTCACTGAAAATTCTTCTACTTCTGACTAGACAGCAGCTGGGTCTACCTGCCACCCAGCATGTAGGTAGTTGGAAACATCTGTACATTTGATGGAATTTTTTTCATCCAGATGTCTAATCCATAGAGAAATTGGCTCAGCCTGTAGCTATGTGTCTCTGCCTGCCCCGTCTCTCATCAAAGACCAGTGGTTCCCATTGCATTGTTAGGAGATGTGCTTAGAACTTTCCCCACCAAGGCTTTGTCTCTAGACTAGGAAATAAAAACAATTACTGAGTATATTTGCTGTATCTTCTCTTTTCCCTTGCCTGCTCCAGTGATGCATTTCCTCTAAGTTCTTTGGTTCTATTCATGGACCTTAACTGAAGTGGAGGCCAAACAGGTGTCATTTGGAAAATGTGGAGCGAGGGGGACAAGGAGGACCAGGGAAGGTACAGGCTTTCCTCCACATTAACACTGAGGGAAGATAGGAAGGAGACAACCCTTCCCTACCTCATTCCTGGTAACTCAGCAGATATGTTCAGCTTCACTTTAAAGTAAAAAAAAAATATCACTTGACCTCCACTTGCCAGCCTTCCCTCAGCTCCTTGCTCATGCATATGCTGAGTTCGCAAAAGTGGAGCTTGTTGTCTCAGATCTTCGTGTGTTCTGCCCAGGCAGACTCTCCCCTGAGGCCTACCCAGCTCTTGGCTGGCAGGGAGACCAAGTCAGATTTCTCACTGACTCTGTTGGCCTGTAATCCCCACCCTGCCTCTTGCTGCAAGTCCAAGGCACTCTGGGTGTTACTGCCATCATGTTTGAGTCAGCAAGCTTGAAGGGAGCCTTGTGTGGTCTTACTGAGTTTTTTTTGTGGGAACAGCTGCAGCAGAAATATGCAGAAAACTCTCTCCGGGTTCCTTAGCCTTGTAAGCATTTGGTCCCCAGCAGTTAGAATGTCTAGACTGATGAGGGTCAGGTGGTGGTGTGGCAGTAACACAGTTCTCTGCAAGGCTAAAGCATATGGGAGAGTCTGGGTTCATGCCTGGAAACCTCTCTGAACACATTGGGTGTAGGTGCCCATGATCCAGGGCTGGCTGGAGCAGGGGGTGGATGGTGATGTGAAGACCCTGTTGGGGGTGCATATCTCTCTGTCTCTAGTCTCTCTTTGTCACGGAAGAAAGAGACTTTTTAAAAAGTTTGTGGGGAAAATGAAATTGAAGTGTGACTTAAAAAGTGAAGAATGCTTGGGCTGGGACAGTGGCTGAGCCGCGTACAGGAGTGACAACTGATGGCATGTATGCACAGGCTCTAGGCTCCAGCTTCATTTCTGTAGAAATACTGCAAAGCCTCAAACCTTTACTGAATTCTACTATCCCTCCAAATGTCTTTGCTAATTTGAACCTTAAAAATAAGGAGGAAAAGAAAGAAGAAAAGGAGGCTAGGAGAGGTGGGTGAGAAAGAAGCTACCAACTTAGGGTTATAGCTACAAGAACTACCAAGAACTATAAAAATATAAAGTCATATGTGGAGAAATCAAAGAAAAATCGGGACCAGCAGTTAGCGTAATGGCTATGTCGCTCGACTCCCACGTAGTCGACCGTGGTTTGTATCCCGGACCTGGTGGCTTAAAACTCACGCTGGGCGCGTGTGCGTGCGTGCCCAAGATCCCAAGAGGAGAATGGAGGAGAAGGGATTGCTGCGTGACCATCCCCCCGGGGGGTGATTTCTCGCTTTCTGTCTCTATGTCTCTGTCTGTCTGGCGAGCGCACACACCCTATAGCGAAAACGTCTCCAAAAAAAGAAAAGAAAAGAAAGAAAAAAATCTGAGAAGAACCTTAAAGAGTATTAATAATTGGAAGGCACAGACTTGACTTGACCAGTCCTGTGCTAAGAGTTCTATTTTAGCTCTTTCCAGGCTATGTGAATTTGCATGTGATTACCATCTCAAAGCCTCAGTTTCATAGTCTATTTAACATAGGGAACTGCATAGTTATCTCCCGAAGTTGTGAGTTAATTTATGTGAAGAACTAAGGAAGATGGGCCAGGCCCATGGCCCGGTAGTTAAGGGAACAGATCCTATATGACCATGGTTTGGGAAACATGTCAGGTGTGTGTACATACATACCCCAAATCCCAAGAAGATGGACAAATGGAGAGAAGAGATTGTAGCATGATCACACCCCATTGAGAGAATCCTCTCTCTCTCTCTCTCCTCTCTCTCACACACCCACACTCCATTGAGAGAATCCTCTCTCTCTCTCCTCTCTCTCACACACCCTTTGGTGAGCACATTGCCCTCTGGCAATTAAAAGAAAAAAATAGCTAAGCAAGGTAAAGGATGCTTCATGCAGCCCAACAGGTAGAAGGCTAGAGTTGACAAAGGATGCCTTGAGAAGCCTTGCTCCTGCTCATTCCCATTCTGGACCAGGTCAATGGAAGCTCAGTGTTTAGTATTATGAAGTGCCCCATGGACACAGTGAGAGGAAACCAAGCTGGCACTCAGTGTACCACCCATAGTCCTTAACTGAAGGAACTCTGAGATTGCAGGCACCTTATAGCAAGGAACTCCATCTCTTTAGAGACAATCAGTGGGATACTTAAAATGTGCAGTAAGGTGCCTGATTAACCAGACTGATGAGGGGTTCATCTCTAGGCTATTGAAGGGTGGATGATCTTAATCATCTTCAGAGAGTATGTGCAACCAGCACTCTGTGACACTTGCCGATTGTCATTGGGTACTGCACACAAGGTGCTCAGCGAGTGTTTTAATGAGTTACCTTCTTGTCCTCCAAACCATGCCAACAAATATCATTGTTTTTGGTTAAGACCAAGGCCACACAGCAAGTCACCAATTACTTGAACCCAGAAGTCAAGACTCGCAGACTTGCGTTCTAAAGCCTTGTACCTCTCCAGGGACAAAAATAGTGACATTCCTTTGTTTACCCTCCACCTATCCCTGCTGGCCACCTGGGCCAAAGGGAGATTATTACTTTTCCACAAAATACCAAAGGTGAAAAGAAATCAAAGTACAGTTACACATCTGTCTCCCCCAGTGAAAAGGCTTCCTTTTCCTCTAGATAACATCTGCTTTCTGTCTGTTGACTATGGTTACTATAAGCAGAAAACTAGGGTCATCATCTTGCATACCCTTGCCTTCCAGCCCACCCAGGGAAGGATGGATATGAAGGGAAGAAAGGAGAAGCGAAAGATGTGAAATCTGTTGTTCTCTGACATGCAGGGACCTGGTCCTTTGAGCATCTCTAGCCTTTCATAGCTCCTTGGGTAACTCTCGAGCACCCAGCAAAAGGGTGAGGAATTTTAGATGTAATAGGCAAGTGAACATTGGAAATGTGAGTCAGAATTCTCCTGTCAGAGAGCTACATGTGCAGCCTTCACTGACCCACTTCTACCTCATTTATCAGGCATTTACAGTTGATGAGTATAGATTGTCAAGATAGTATTATACACTATGTGTCTGATTCATTTTTTAGCTCCCTCCAGGAAAAAAATAAAAAATAAAAAAGCTCCTCCACTCTGGGATAATTACTCGGGTTGCTATATCTCCAAATCATCAGGGAGTGTCCAGAATTGAACCGCCTTTATTGAAAAGTTACATCGATTCAATATATAGTAATACAGGCAAAAATAATTAAGGCTTTGCTAGCTGTGTAAGACCTTAATCCAGATCTCACAAACATTCAATAAAGGCTGTATGGGCAGGAAAATAGACGGCTGACAATTTTGCCCAAGAGAACCAGCTGGTACAAAGAAAGGGAGCAGAGGGAGGAGAGAGAAAAAGAGAGAGAGAGAGAGGAGGGAAGAGACAGCAATAGATGAGTTGGGAGCAGCAGAGAGAATTTTGACCATTTGTTTATAAGCTTAGTAAGCACCCTCGACAAAATGCTTCTTTGACATTTGATATTCCCTTAGATGCAATGTAGACAATAAAACTCAAAGAATCCAATTCTAGATATGGTTTGAAGTTCTAATGCAAGAAAACTACTCTGCCATTTGTTAAGGATGCATGCAAGCTCAGCCTGTAAAGTCCTGGTCAGGACAATGCATTTTGCTGTGTGATTCCCCCCCCTACCCCCCACATTGCTGTTTCATTGCTCATATTGAGAGGAAATCCAGACAGGGGTTGTCCACACCCTCAATAGATGCAGCAGGCATTGGACCCTGCACGTGGGGAGGAGATAAAAGACTGGAGATTGGGGTGACCCCCAAATTAGAAACTAAATTAAATATCCTATTTCAGTGGATCAGCATTCATTAGTGAATGAGTATCACATATCAGCAGTGAGCCCCAGAGGGAGATGGGGTAGGAAAAAAAAAAAGCTAATAAAATTTAGTCTAGAATGGATAGAAACCTAGGATGAATAGGAAACCCAATTTATTATAAATGATGCCAGGCAGGGGTCAGCAGGTGGTATGGTGGTTAAGGCACTGGATTCCCAGGCGGCTGTCCATGGTTTGAGTCCTGGATCTGGCAGCTTGAAAATCATGCTGGGTATGTGTGCATGCATGCCCAAAATCCCAGGAGGAGAATGGAGGAGAACGGGTTGTAGCATGGCCATCCTCTCGGGGTGATTTCTCACTTTCTCTCTCTTTTTCTCCCTGATGAGTGAATGTGCCTATTGTGAAAACCTAAAATCAAACAAACAAAAATGATACCAGGTAAGTCGACAAGCTCAGCACCTGGAGTTTCCTTTCCTGTTCCAACTAAGTGATTTGGAACAGTATCGTCTGGAATTTATTTTAGTTTTGAAATGAAAAATGTATTGCAATTTAGTTTACGTTTACATTGATTATCCCAGTTATACAACCTACTCATCTAAAACCAAACCGAATGCAACTCAGCCTCCCAAGCAAAATGTCAACAACCTTTGTTAGCATTATTATTTCAGTGTTTCTATAAGGCTTTAGTCCCTCTGCTGATCTGTCAGTGAGCTGGAGAAAACTGGCTAACCTATCAGCTAAGGACACGTTTCTCTGGGATTGGATCAGAACTAGCTCCTCCCAACATACCTCTCCCCCCACCTTTGTGTTATAGGCTTTGATGCAAAAAGTCTTCCAGTCTAATTTATTACTTTTTCCTCACAGCCATGACCGGACTTGTCGTACCCCCGATGTAAAGAAGAGGAAGAACTGCTTTCTTATAGCACAAAACTACTTATCCCGATGGACCAATAATGAAGAAAGCACCATGAGCTCTTTGGGGAGAGTTGTGCCCCCAAGCAAATGTGATGGATGAGTTTGGGTATGCAAGGAGCCGGCATCTCACTTGTTCTCACATTCTTCTCGTAGCACTGATGGTGGCTACACAAACTGACCCTCTTGGGAGACAAGGACAAATGACGTCATTGACGTGGTCAGTGCTAAGAGCAGAAATGCAATTCTTTGTTATGAACATTATGAAAACCACCTTCCTATGTTTGTAAAATATTTAAGAAAAAAATTGGCAAACAATTCATGCTTAATATTTTGGATACTATTTGTTTTTCTTTGTAGGAAAAAAAAAGTTGAAAGTTTCTATTTTCTATGAAGCCTTTCAGATACCAATTTAGTTTATGCAGAAAAAAAAAATTGAACAAAACAGGGTACCAGCATGGAAGACTTTCTTAAAACGAAATCTGAATTGAATGATGAAATGGTGTATGTGTGTTTGCTTATAGTTTAATCTCTTTAAAAAAATACAAAAAAAAAAAACAAAAAGGGGAAAAATTTTAAAATGTTTTACAATTATTTAAATAAATAAACGTGTAACTTATTGTAAGTAGAAGTAGAAATTAAGACCTTTTTTTGTTTGGAAGAGAGTAATTTCTCTTCCTGATGTAAAATGAAAATGATGCAAACATGTAGTAACAAGTTTTAAAGGTGTGTGATTATTACTGCAGTTACTGACTAGACTCTAACCCCCCATTCCTCATCTTCCTCTTTTTCCATCACTTTATTGACTCATGGGCAAGAACATGTACCTTACATAAAGATTCCTACAGAACAACCCAAGGCAGAAACAAAGACCCAAGTACATATGCACACACATGAATATCCAAACCCATCAATTCATCCCCAGCTCCTTCTGATTTCTAAAAATCTACATCTCCCTTTTGGTGTTCTCTCTTTGTGACTTAAAAAAAAAAATCATATTAAATTTCAACATTCTCCCCTGAGCAATACAGAGAATCCCCATGTCACAGTGTATCACAAGCCGTGAGTACCCCAAGGAAAGAGGTGTCTCATCCTCAAAAAGAGCCAGTATCATGTGACTATCTTAACCAAGGAGCCCCTTTGGGATTCTTCCTTCCAAGAGCCACACACTCCCTCCTCAAGTTTCCTGGCTTGGCGCCATGGTATTAAGTCCCACAGAACTTCAGAAGCAGAGTTTGAAGAAGATGACTCTGTTCCTTGGACGCTAACGAGTCAGTCTTAGAAGGTCCAAGTCCTCTCTCTCTGCAAATTTCCCCTCTCATGGCATTAAACTCTCTCTCAAAAAAAAAAAAAAAAAAAAAAAAAAAAATCCC